TATGACAATAAGTGATGAACTGGCAGCAAGGCTAAAATGTGAGATGTACTGAAAGGTATATATGTAATGATGTCAACGTACGGTGTTGCATGCATATACTTATCCTTATATCTTGTAATGTACGAGGTTATATCATTATTTCAAGCTAATAAACGTTGCAGCATTACTTATTGTTTGTGACTATTACTGTGCTCCGAAATCGTGAAAAAGATGCGCAATATCAATATGATTGGGATGGAATTTATAAAGCGGAATTTGAAATCACTATAGAAAAACGCAAAAATTCAGTAAATCGATCCACGTATAGAACGGCCATAAAATCGCGACCTTTTAGTATTATTGTCACAATGAAATAGAATTAAATGGCTGTACATATAAAACTAACTAGTAGAGAAAATGTAAAATTTCGATCATTAACAGGCAGGTTTTACTCGAAATTTAAATATCAATTCCATTATAGGTTAATGTTACAGATACATACGCACGCACGCAGCACGCACGCTCGGGCACACACACACACACACACACACACACACACACACACACACACACACACACACACACCAGGGCCGTAGTGGCCTCCCAAAAAGTGCCACTGCAAAAATATGTAGCCGATGCGGGAGGTCTGGTCTCTACAGTTCAAAAATTTTTGAAATGTAGAGCTGGAATGGCATTTCCTGCATTTTCAGGCTATGTTGAAAGCAACCAATTCTGATCATTTCAAAGGTCAATTTGTAAATTTTAAAGAGGAATGTAGCTAAAGCTGATGTTTTGACTAAAGTATCTAAAATATATATTATGAGTATGATAACTAATAAACATTATTTACAAATTGTATATACTATCAGTACATAATTATGAAAAATAAGCCTATTTTCAATCTGCATTTATACTTTCACTATGTACATCTGTATGTTTTGAAGTTTGAATTTGAATAGGCACATTGTCATATTAGATACACATTCCAGAATTATTTTTTTTCAAAATAGTGCCACGGCAGTGCCGTGCTGCCGTGGCGGCCACTACGGCCCTGCACAACACACAACACCACACACACACACACACACACACACACACACACACACACACACACACACACACCACACACACACACACACACACACACACACACACACCACGAACAATTCCACATATAGTCTCAGGTCTGTCTATGATTTATTCCGCGTATATTCAATAAACACGCACGCACACACTACCATAAACAATTAGTATCCCTCAAAATCGTTTCATAATCTAAATACTTATCGTTTTCCTGCACACAATCATAAACCAGGGAGATGGACAGAACTTTATGCAAGGATTGTGGAAAACCATGCATAGAAATTTTCGCCAAACGTGTTGTGAACGAATAAAACGCCAGTATCACTTATCGGCAACATAGAGCTTTTTTTTCAAGTTCTTGGTGCTTTTTATACTTTGACGTTTTACCAGATCTGACATAGTATCTTCATCCATTCGTTAAAACGCAGTTTATTTGAATATAGGCCATTGGTGGCTAGAGACCGTACTGATGCTAGGGTAGCACTGCTCAGATAGTAACATTGGTTTCATGACACATGACACACTGCACCACGCGGTTTTTTACTGTCATAATACACACGCACACGCGCACGCGCACGCACGCACGCACGCACGCACGGGGTAGTTTATTGCCATAATACCACACGCACACGCGCACGCACGCCTGCACGCACGCACGCACGCCCGCACCACACACACACACACACTCACGCACACAAACACACACAAACACACAACACACACACACACACACACACACACACACACACACACACACACACACACACACGCACAAGACTCAATAGTTCTCTCCGCAAGCGATCTCAACAACATTGATGTTTGTGAGACCACAAAACTCCGTATTTCCCTCATAACTATGCAATAATTGTTTTGTTATAGTATGTAAAGTCAGGAGTAAATAATACTATTACTAGCTCCGACTGTGCGACGTTTAGCAAACCAAGACCAAGGACAATTCCGCATTCTAGACCGCGGCGAGCATATTATTTATTAAGGGTAACTCAATAAACATAAACTCAAACTCTACCTCAAATCTTCAGTAATCCTCGTACCTAATCGTTTGTTACATACATAATCACAATCCAGAGGAATAGACTAGAATATTCAACATTCCGACAATCATTACACACGCAAGCACGCGAAAATAAATCGCATCTAATGACAAATTTCGGGGTAATTATTATGAGGTTTCAAGAGATAACCTTGTGTTTTACTATCATTATGCTTTGCCAGAACTGGTATACTGTTCTCCTCTAATCATTCAGACTTCTTTTCGCCTCACGTCGTGGCGCCATTTAATTTTAATATTGATTTTCTTACGGTCACTATCAGCTATTATTTCATGGCACGTGACATGCTGTGCAACAATTATGATGTGGTATTTAATGCAGCCAACACACACATACATGTTATCAGGGGTAGATAATGACAAATTTTTCGCTCGCTCGCGCGCGCGCGCGCGTGTGTGTGTGTGTTTATTTATTTATTTATTTATTTATTTATTAGCTTTCCATTGATCCTCAACTGTATTTGCAATCATGTTACATGCCATTTCTTCGTCTTCGTAGCGCCCCAAATTATTTGAGGTTATTGCGGACTGCATGGCGCGCGTATATGACGATTTAGTATAACGGACACGTAGATAAATATCTAATTATGTGGATAAACAATAAGTTGCGAATCAGCAATATAGATCGGAACAAATCTGTAGGAAACTGGAAATGAGGTGGTTTTACCCACTATGCCACTACAGGGCAAATCTACCTATCTGAATTTGTATCGTGCTTCGACTCACTTTCATTTCATCGCGTTCATTCCCATAACCTTGCACCGCTACAAGTAGGGTGTGTAAGTCCTCTATCACGACGGATTGGGCGGTGTCGATCGATGAAAAAAGAGCAGGTGTGTTTGCGTGTAGCTAACCGCTTATTGACAGCTCTGCTCCGCTTCGTAATTCAATAGTAGGCCTACGATGCGCAACCATTGGATCCCAATACGGTAATCCATGTTCCATATGGCGGCATGAATCGCGGATGCAACATCCGTAGACATGCGTAATTAGTCATAGCCGATAATCTATAATTCGATCTGCTCGTTACGGTCTAGCCGTAAAAATATTAAAGAGCTCACAATGTCATATACGCGCAAAACTACATTCTAGGCAGAGTCTTCAGAGGGAAGAACATATCAAAAAGTCAAAGAATGAACGAGGACGTTGTCGCGAACAGTGTAGTTTAAATTCGGGGTATAATTAACTATCTCCTAATAATAACCATTATAATTGTGCATGTGACAACCTACGTATGAATATACTATATAAGTGAAGATATTGCCTGACACGCAGGTCCAAAAACATTAGCGGCGTAGAAACGTCGAATAAGGCAATGTAATCAAGAGCGTATTAAGTATATACTTAATACGCTCTTGATGTAATGTATATTAGGTGCTTTCTTATGTTCATGCCTGTGCTTAGGGAAAGATTACAAATGCGCGTTTCACCGATCTTAAGAGATGGAGGCGTGACCTAAAAAAATGTCTGCCTTGGAGAACGATAGAGAGCACGCGAGAGTAGAAACATTCACATTGTGAATGTAGGTATCAGGAGTAAGCGAACTAGCGATAATCTCATCAATGAAGAGATTGGTCTCTCATCAATGTACTTCTGATATCAGCATTTATATGCTATATTAATAAGTTGTTCAGTATCGGCATACACTATAGCTTTGTTGCCGCCATTGACCAAGATAGTCTCCCGTACGCAGTTCCTTCTACATATATATCTATCTTATCAAGAGCACATCAATTTCTATATATGAATATATACGGTGTAGACTATCGGTGCAGTGCCAGGAATTTATTTAGAAGGCGTCATGACCGTCGCATCGGCAGTAATGATGTGTTACGATGAGCAGACACGCAGCATTGTACGCGTTACTGTCAAAGAGTTGCTGCACACATACACGCACGCACGCACGCACGCACGCACGCACGCATCTAATGTACTTTTGCGCGTATTCTTAATAGGATGGCGTTAATACGAATACATTGTGAATGGGGTTGAATCTAAGTTTTCATTTTGTTACCGGATCGATGTAGTTTTATCGCAGCATTAAATAATGTTTATGTGACACAGACTTCAACAATACGAGCAACTGTAACGATCGTTATTGGGACGGGCCTCAGTTCTGTAGACATTTTAGTATTAGTTACTCAAAAGACAGCTTCATACATATGTATTTTGTATCTAATTGCATGCTGTTATTATCACTCTTTGTAATGAGCACCTCGACTAATATTTGTTTATATGTTTGCACGTGACTAACTGTTGCCGTTCTGGTAGTAATATATGTGTGCAGTGAATTATTGGAGAACCTGCTTGTCAAAATTTGTGACACATATTGTACAACTATAGCGATTCCGGTGATGCGTGTAATTTTCTGGATTAGCCAACTTTAGGAAGTTGTCGTGAACCTTCTAGTTGTAATGGCTTGCTTGGCCGACTGGCTTTTTACATATATACAGTGTTATAATACAGGAAAGGTGACATGAAGCATTCAATTGCATGTTGATGTTACTGCGTTCGCACTAAACATTTATTGTTTAGAAAATTGGTGTGTGTTTCTACTTACGCATGTTAACCGGACAAATTCTGCTAATTATTCATCTCAGAATGTTCATCCATAAGATGGTTCATTTATGAAGAAGTTATCAACAAACAAATTTTATTTATCGTCCTATTACATGAGGACATGGCTGATTATAAAAGTGTACCGCAGATACCTACGCAAAGTGACGTCATTCAACCTATTCGACCATAGAATAAATAGGTCGAAACCCAGCATTTCATTCTTATAGCACTTGCACGTAAAAACTCCTCGTGGCAATGATAAGGTTGACTACGTCTCAGTCTGAGTTAGAGCTGGTTTCTTATTTCACAGTGATGTCAGATCACGGACGTAGAGCTTCATCGAGGTCGTCGGGTGCGGAGACCGTGTGTCTGCGTCACAGCTTGCCTCGCACACCGACGCCTTGTACGACCGACTCGACCGACAATCTACACAGCGTGACGACGTACGAACGGCAGCAGGGAAACTGGCAGCCGCCACCGACTGAAAGCAAAGATGCTGAACCCAAGTCGGTGGCGGCGAAATGTGTCATTTACAGTGTGGATGTGAGCCCATATTATTACTGCGCCTTATTGGAACTCATGTGTGTAGTGAATGGGTCAGTGTGTGTGTGTGTGTGTGTGTGTGTGTGTGTGTGTGTGTGTGTGTGTGTGTGTGTGTGTGTGTGTGTGTGTGTGTGTGTGTGTGTGTGTGTGTGTGTGTGTGTGTGTGTGTGTGTGTGTGTGTGTGTGTGTTTGCGTGTGTGTGCGTGTGTGTGCGTGTGTGTGTGTGTGTGTGTGTGTGTGTGTGTGTGTGTGCGTCGTGTGTGTGTTGCGCGCGTGTGCGTGTGCGGTGCTGCGCGTGCGTGCGTGCGGTGCGTGCGTGCGTGCGTGTATGTGTGCAGCAACTCTTTGACAGTAACGCGTACAATGCTGCGTGTCGCTGCTATCGAAAACACATCATTACTGCCGATGCGACGGTCATGACGCCTTCTAAATAAATTCCTGGACTGCACCGATATCTACACCGTATATCATATATAGAAAATGATGTGCTCTTGATAAGATAGATATATATGTAGAAGGAACTGCGTACGGAGACATCTTGGTCAATGGCGGCAACAAAGCTATAGTGTATGGAATACTGAACAACTTATTAATATAGCATATACATGCTGATATCAGAAGTACATTGATGAGAGACCAATCTCTTCATTGATGAGATTATCGCTAGTTCGCTTACTCCTGATACCTACATTCACATGTGAATGTTTCTACTCTCGCGTGCTCTCTATCGTTCTCCAAGGCAGAAATTTTTAGGTCACGCCTCCATCTCTTAAGATCGGGTGAAACGCGCATTTGTAATCTTTCCCTAAGCACAGCGCATGAACATAAGAAAGCACCTAATATACATTACATCAGAGCGTATTAAGTATATACTTAATACGCTCTTGATTACATTGCCTTATTCGACGTTTCTACGCCGCTAATGTTTTTGGACCTGCGTGTCAGGCAATATCTTCACTTATATAGTTTCATACGTAGGCTGTCACATGCACAATTATAATGGTTATTATTAGGAGAATATTAATTATACCCCGAATTTAAACTACACTGTTCGCGACAACGTCCTCGTTCATTCTTTGACTTTTTGATATGTTCTTCCCTCTGAAGACTCTGCCTAGAATGTAGTTTTGCGCGTATATGACATTGTGAGCTCTTTAATATTTTTACGGCTAGACCGTAACGAGCAGATCGAATTATAGATTATCGGCTATGACTAATTACGCATGTCTACGGATGTTGCATCCGCGATTCATGCCGCCATATGGACATGGATTACCGTATTGGGATCCAATGGTTGCGCATCGTAGGCCTACTATTGAATTACGAACGGAGCAGAGCTGTCAATAAGCGGTTAGCTACACGCAAACACACCTGCTCTTTTTTCATCGATCGACACCGCCCAATCCGTCGTGATAGAGACTTACACACCCTACTTGTAGCGGTGCAAGGTTATGGGAATGAACGCGATGAAATGAAAGTGAGTCGAAGCACGATACAAATTCAGATAGGTAGATTTGCCCTGTAGTGGCATAGTGGGTAAAACCACCTCATTTCCAGTTTCCTACAGATTTGTTCCGATCTATATTGCTGATTCGCCACTTATTGTTTATCCACATAATTAGATATTTATCTACGTGTCCGTTATACTAAATCGTCATATACGCGCGCCATGCAGTCCGCAATAACCTCAAATAATTTGGGCGCTACGAAGACGAAGAAATGGCATGTAACATGATTGCAAATACAGTTGAGAATCAATGGAAAGCTAATAATAAATAAATAAATAAATAATAAACACACACACACACACACGCGCGCGCGCGAGCGAGCGAAAAATTGTCATTATCTACCCTGATAACATGTATGTGTGTGTTGGCTGCATTAAATACCACATCATAATTGTTGCACAGCATGTCACGTGCCATGAAATAATAGCTGATAGTGACCGTAAGAAAATCAATATTAAAATTAAATGGCCCACGACGTGAGGCGAAAAGAAGTCTGAATGATTAGAGGAGAACAGTATACCAGTTCTGGCAAAGCATAATGATAGTAAAACACAAGGTTATCTCTTGAAACCTCATAATAATTACCCCGAAATTTGTCATTAGATGCGATTTATTTTCGCGTGCTTGCGTGTGTAATGATTGTCGGAATGTTGAATATTCTAGTCTATTCCTCTGGATTGTGATTATGTATGTAACAAACGATTAGGTACGAGGATTACTGAGATTTGAGTAGAGTTTGAGTTTATGTTTATTGAGTTA